CTCCTGCACTCCAAACTCCTCATCCCCAGCCTCACCCCAGACCTCCAGCAGGAGCCCTCAGCCCCTCCTGTACCCCAACTCCGTGCCCCAGCCCGGAGCCTTCTCCCGCACCCTGAACCCCTCATTTCTGGCCCCACCCTGGAGCCCTCACCCCCTCCCGCATCCCAACTCCCAGCCCAGTGAAAGTGAGTGAGTGTAGGGGAGAGCGAGTCACGGAGGGAGGGGGAATGTAGTGAGGGAGCGGGGCCTCAGGGAAGGGGCAGGTGCGGGGCCTTGGGGAAGGGTGTTCGGTTTTGTGCGACTAGAAAGTTGGCAACCCTAACAGCATCATATGCTTGAAAAGGTGCCACACGTATACCTAACGGCTGCCAGGGGATGGGAGGGGAGCAGACTGTCATGCCTCCCACCCATTAGCTCAGCTACTGATTTTGGATGCTCAGCTTGATATTTAAGGCCTGATTTTCAGAGGTGTTGAATGCCCACAACTCATGTTTTAAGTCAGTGGAAGCTGCAGATTCCAAACAACTCTGAAAATCAGACCTTAGATGTCTCAAAATGGGCACCCAAAATTGAGAAACTCAGAATCAGTGGACACTTCAGAAAATTGTGGCCTGTCACCTTGGGTAAATCCTGTAATGAGTCGCTTGGAAAGCTGGGAAAATAATCCAGTCAGAAGTCTTGACTCCCCACGGCCTACTCTTAACCCCAGAGTATACTGCCGTCCACACAATTAGATTATGCTTCTTTTGTATTGCCTTTCCTGGATATACCACAGATTCAAAATATATTAATAATAAAAAAAATTAGACTGGACAAAGTATTTGAGAATATATGGATGGAACTATGCTGTATTGGAAGAGAGTCGACTAGATCAGTGGTTCTCAACCTGTGATCTGCAGTCCCCGGGGGATCCACAGACTATGTCTAAGGGGTCCATGAAAGGTTGTAATTACCACAGAACAGTGGTTTTCAACCTGTGGTCCACAGGCCCCCTGGGGTCCGCAGACAATATCTAAGATTTCCAAAGGGGTCCACACCTCCATTCAAAATTCTGTAGGGGTCTGCAAATGAAAAAAGCTTGAGAACCACTGGACTAGATGACAAAGAGGTCTTTGCTATTTCAAACTTCTATAATGATTTTTCATATGTAAATCAACCCTATCTTAGAGAAATTTAATACTCATTTGAAAGAGGAATCTCTAACAGGAGTCTGACAAAGTGATAGCATGCTTGCAGTGTTGTAGCCATATTGGTCCCAGGATATTAGAGAGACAAAGTGAGTGAGGTCGTACAACAGAACCTCAAGAGTTATGAACACCAGAGTTACAAACCGACCAGTCAACTACACACCTCATTTGGACCCAGAAGTACGCAATCAGGCAGCAGCAGCAGAGACAAAAAAAAAAAAAAAAACAAAAACAATAAAAAACTTTTTTAAAAAAAAAATAATAAAAAAATAAATGGAAAGGAGCATTTTTCTTCTGCACAGTAAAGTTTCAAACCTGTATTAAGTCATTGTTCAGTTGTAAACTTTTGAAAGAACAACCATAATGTTTTGTTCAGAGTTACGAACATTTCAGAGTTACGAACAACCTCCATTCCCAAGGTGTTCGCAAGTCTGAGGTTCTCTGTATCTTTTATTGGTCCAATAAAAGATATTACCTCACTCTCTTTGTCTCTCCAAAGTGGTAGCAGTCACCAGAAGACATTTCCTGGGTTGCTACCATGTATATCTGTAAGTGCACTGCATTATTCCCAATATACGTTTGTACCTTCATCATCATGCTTAAAAATCTAATGGAATTGCCTCGTAAGTTTGAAAACACTAAATATTAGTGGGCTTTGCTTATTTACAACTGTGGAGCCTTCCAGCCACATTCTGGAACTTCCTAGTCTGCAGTCTTTGAAAGGGAAATTCAGTCTCTCTGCACCCCCGTCGATCCATAAATTGCACAACAAGTCCCAGGAGTGTAGTCTAAGGCTACAGTCATTCCAGGTATCTTTTTCAGAATTACCAGCCAAAGCTAATCAACTGCCTAATGCAGAAGAGATTTTCTGTGCCTTCCCACTTGTTATGGTAGAATAACAAAGGGAAATTTGTTGGAAAACTGCGTGAGAATTATTTTTGTATGCTAGTTTTAAAATTTTAATTAATATTTACTGCTGTGTTGAGAATTATAATATGAGGTTGTGTGTTCCGAGTAAACTAAGTACCACCACAAGTCCAGCCCATACAGAATCCTGTACTGATTTGGTTGAGTGAGTCAAGATGTTGGGGCTGACCTATTGCATTAGTTTGGATTCCTGATTTTCAGGAGTTATTTTGGAAATCATAAGCAATATGGGTTTATTTTCGTTTCCAAATCAGATGCAAAAAATAAACAGAAGGGACATACTGAGCTGTGGTTTGAGTTTTACTTTCAATGTAGTTTATACAATTTAGGACTCCAGCAAGCAAACAAACCAGCTATTGATTCCAAAGCTCAGCATAGATTTTGCACAGCATCACCCTCAAGAACAGAAGTCACAATATCCAAAAGGTATTTGCAAACTTAATACACTTGAATGCAGTATTTTTCACTTATGCAAAATTAAAGTTAGAATTTGGTTGTGTGGTTGAATGGAAAAATACCAATATCTTAAATGATAGAAGGAAATAGAAGTGCAATTGACAGTTGGGGGACATTACATTTTTCCTGTCACATTGATCTATACTGTCAACAAAAGTGATCTCTCATTAAGATTAAATTATTAATGACAGTGGTATAGGGTGACCATATTTCCCAAAGGGAAAACGGGACACCACGTGGGGCTGGCCCCTTCCCTGCCCCCACACATGGGGTTGGCCCATGCCCTGTCTTCCCCCCCCCATGCAAGGCTCTCGTTGGAGCCCAGCCTGCTCCCTGCCTGGGGCTGGCATCGCTCCTTGCCTGAGCTAGTGTCACCCAAACCCAGCCCACCCCTTGCACAGTTGTAGCTGCTCAGCTGAACCATGCCTCCATCCCCCACAGGGCTGGCATCACCGCTTGCCCCCCTGCACATTCCTCTGCACTCCAGAAGGGGTGCATGCCCCACTTTGTGTGTGTGTGTGCGTGCAAAAGTGGGCATTTGGCCTGTATTGCTCTTGTATATGCAACCAGAGAATCTATATAATGGTGTGAGGTGAGGATAAGAAGTAACCCTTCTAAAACAGAAATCATAAATGCCGACGCTGGGGACCTGATTCTGTTCCAATCCGAATCAATGGGAGTAGTTTTGTCACTGTCACTCTTTTCACTGGGAGCAGGACATAGAACCATCAGAATCAGCAGTTTCTTCCCTTTTCAGACGTTTTCCCACAGCAACCCACCTGCCATCTCTCAAGAGCCTAGAGAGAGCGAGTTCACAGGGGCTCCGGCAGCTTTAAACCTACCGACACACTGCAAAATCCTTCCTAACAGTAGGGAAGTGCAGTGTGAAACCTGTGCCCAGTGACCAACCCCCTCCCCCCACCGAGAGACTGCGGTGCGTGCGGAGCAGGACTGAATGCTTCCCGGGAAAAGGTGTGGTGCCTATTTTCAGGCGTGATTCAGACGATTGCTGGCCCGAGGGCTGGCCGCCTGAGCGATCTGGTGCAGCTTCCACTATATTAAAAAAAAAAAAAAAAGCCTTAACCATGAGCCCGAAATGCAGGCGCCGCCGCGGGGCCGAGGACGAAGCCGGCGCGTGGCAGCCCCTGCTGAGGGCACGGCGCCTCCACCTGTGCGCGGGGCGCGCTCGCCAAAATGGAGCGGCGGCGGCGGCCGAGCCCGGCAGCCGCGAGCCGAGTTCCCTCCCGCAGCCAGCAGCCCACTCTCCCCGAGCCGGGGGGCGGAGCCACGAGGCAGAGAGAGGCTCAGGTCTGGGGAGCGCTGCACCAATACCAGCCGGCCCAGGAGAGCGGCTCCCTCCCCGTGTGTGTGGGTGACCCTCCCCCACGCTGTGCAGTCATGGCGTGTGAGGCAGGAGAAACTCTCCCCAGAGCGCCCTAGCAGCCCCAGCCTCGTCCCCTCCCATGCCCAGGAGAGGGTGAGAGCGCCCACACCCAAGCCGGACCTGCCCAGGCTCGCGGGGGCGGGCGCCCCCTCCCCAGGGCTCTGGTCTAAGGCAGTGCCCCCCCCGCCCCCGCAGCGCTGCGCCTGTTTCAATGGAGCCGCCTCACGTTCAGCCCGGGAGCAGCGCGGCAGGGAGCAGCCCCAGCATCGCCCCGTCCAGCCCCGCGAAAGGCAACACGCCTGGCAGCCTCCGGCACCGCCGTGTCCCCGGGGAGCCCAGGGCCAACTCGCCTCCCACCCTCCCGGGGGGGCGCCCGAGGCGCCGCTGGCCGGAGGCTCCCGCACCTGCGTTGAGTTCGCAGCCCTGAGGCGGTAGCTGGGCAGAGCCCAGCCCGGCTCCCCGGGAAGGGACCAGCCCGGGCGCGTGGCCTGGCCCGTCCCTGCGCCGAAAGCCCCGGGGCGGCTGCGGGCGGGGGGTTGCGCGGCAGCCTGGGAGGGGGGTTCGGGGCGATCGCTGCCGCTGCTGCTGACACCTTGTTACTTCCTGCTTCGCAACCCCAGGGCCCGACCCATCTCGGCGGAGGGATCCGCTCGCCTCCTCGAGCCTCCGCCCATTCCTGCTTCTGCTTTTTTTTTTTTTCTTTTGCAAGAAAATAATTTGACAGCGATTTGCTGACACTGGGATTTTGCATCAGCGATTACAAGAAAGAAACCCCCCGACAACCTCTCCCCCGATCACCAGACGGGGCGCGCAAAGGGGGATCATGCAAAAGGTAAGTCCAGGTTCTCGGAGCCTTTCCTAGCGTGGGGTTGCAAAGTGTGTGGGGAGGTGGGTGGATATTTCTACCACTCCTTCTTCGCTCCCAGTGCAATTGCTTAGGGGAGGGTGTATTGCATGGGGGAAGGGGAGGGAGGAGTATGTTTCCTGGCGGAGCGATATTTGTTTACAGGATGAGATCTGTACTGTAAGTAAAGTAGGACCGAGCAAAGGCAGTTCTGTAATAAATTGGTATTTAAATTGCACCATCAACGCCCCCCAAACTGGGAAAAATTGTGCCCAGTCCGGCCAGGTCTGTGCTCCCGGATCCTGCATGCACTTGTTGCAGATTTACACCAGGTAGGCAAATGCTTAACAAGTTTCATTTTGCATTAGCTGGGGCTCCCCTAAATAAAGAAAAAGTTTGCAGCTCACTCTCGCTCTGTAGTGCTGAGTAGGCGAGGCCCTCCCTGCAGCCTCTTCCCTCTGTTGCAAGATATCCCAGCAGGGAGAAGGGGACAGCCGGGCTGGCAGTTTATTACAGTGTCCTGTGCTTGCGCCTTTTTTTGGGGTGGGGGTGGGGTGTGCGCGTATGTGCAGGCCTTAGGGAATGTAATTAAAGGAATGTATGTGATAAAGTTCTTAATCTGCAACTGAGAAACCGCAGGACTCCTTAGGGATGAATCTTTTCACAGGGTGCATTTGTGTCAATGCTGTGCTGTGGCAAGTTACTGTATGCGTGGATTTGGCACTTGATAATGTGCTGCCATACCTGCCTACAGTGGAAAATAGAAAAACCTGAGATTTTCATCTTGGCCACTCCCTAAATCTCTGCCCTACGATTTCTCCTTGGCAAGTGACAAAAAATATTGCCTAAGATAAAAGTGTGCTTTTAAAATCAGGAAAATAATATGTTCCAGTACTTTGTGATTCCGAAAAACGTGGCTCTTAGAATTGCCTTTTTGCAGCCTGCCTGTAGAGGTTCCTCCCATATTCTATTCAGTGTCACATTCAGAGCTGCAATACTGAAAGTCCAGAGACTCTGGAGGCAGGCCCCAGAGTTTGAAAAATCCCTACTTCTCAGGCCAAATGCCTGAAATTAAGTAGGGATGTATGCTGAGGGCTTTGCATTTAAAAGGGGTTTGGGCTTGATGTGCACCCCTGAAAAGGGTTTTTAGGATTTAAAGTAATGAGGGCTGGTGGTGGTTGCTTCTTGGGGAAGTTGGAAAGGGATGTGGATTCAGGTTCTGAAACATTTTGCTGTAATTGTACTTATATTGTGATCTCATAGGGCAAGATAATGGCTTGGTTCCTACTTAACGGCCAGTAAATAGCTTGAAAATACTGGAGAAGAAATGGTACTTTGAATTAGCTGTACAGGGTGGCTGACAACATTCAAGTGATCTGTGTGTCGCATACTTGAAATATTAATTTGCTAACTTACTTCAATGTATGTGAATCTGTTTCTAACAAGATCACATTTAAGTTTTCTATCTGAGATTGTCTAAACAGGCCGTTGTAGCTGAATCACATGGTTGCATAGGAATTTATTTTTTGATATTTTTATTCTTTGGAAATTATATATTATTTGCTTTCCTCAGATAAGGAATGCACAGTCGACTGGTCACTGTCACTGAGTTTAAGCACATAACTACTTAATTTTGTGGTCTCTTGAAATGTGTGGCGTAAGGAGCAGAACTGTACACCAGATGTCTAAATACGAGACAGATGTTTTACAAGTAAAATTAATGACACGAAAGCTTATGTTCTAATAAATTTGTTAGTCTCTAAGGTGCCACAAGTACTCCTGTTCTTTTTAACTAAAATTAATAATCAGTTAACCAGTTAAGAAATGGATAATGCTTTCTTCTTCCTTTGCTTGCTTTATAGATTAGTTTTTCATGTTTATCGGTCAGTTACCTACACTTGACTCTTCACATGTAAACTTTGCAAATTTTGTACTTTAGGTCTAATAAATTAATATATCTTTGCTGTGCCAACAAATTACTTAAGATAGGTGCAGATCCTTACAGACTGAAATAACAGAGCATTAGAAAATGTGAATAATAATGAAACTATTTGTGAGAAAATGTTGTGATTATTTTAGTTGCCAGAGACATACAAGTTTAACCAGTGATTAACTGGTTAAACTTGTATGTCTCTGGCAACTAAAATATTACTGTAAGACATGAATGTGGAGTGAGCCCTGCACAGGGATCCACTCATGTGGAGAACTTTGCGGGGTCAGAGCCTAAATATTTTCCTCTTTCAAAACCTGTAAATATGTTTTGTGCCTTAATTAAATAACCTATCTTTATGGTATCAGTGTATGGACGAACTAGTGTATGCATAGTTTTCATGCACAGAACATTTTTTGGTATCATTTATTTAATTTGTGGTCTTGACTGGACATTAATTGGCCTGGAGCAGAGCTATTTCTCTGACGTCCTTGGTATTACAATCTTATGGGTGTTTTAGATAGATGAAAGAAAGTTCAGGCATTTATTACATTTCAAGGCCTTGACTGCCATGCTACTATGGGCCACTCCTTTTGAGGTATGTTCACTTTTGTATAAGGTTTGTTAAGGCATACATTTAACATCAAATGTACTACTTGGTTCAAACACTCTGTATACGTTATGGGACTTGGAAGATGTGAATTTAAAAGGCTTTGTTATAAATAAAGGGAGTATACAGCTTAACAAATAGGCTTGTTTTTGTTTAGTTAAATGATTTCCTTTATCACATGAAAAAGTTGCATTATAAACTTTCCTTAGGGTAACATTTGTGAATTACCAATTAACACTGTTATTTCCATAATTTTTATGCATATGTGTATTTTGAGAGAATTAAAAGTCAATACATAAGACATGCACACAAGTTATGTAATTAACTAATATCTTTTTTTATCCTTTCTGCTATGCTTGAATAACAGTGTATGTTTATGTAACAAAATGAAGCCAGAGAACTTCAGCAAGAAACTGAGCAGTGTTCAGACATCTGACTACCTAGTCAAACTGACGAGTGACAGACTCTATATAAAAGAAAAGATGTGAATAATGTAGCTTTAAGGACAAAAGTGTTTTTTTAAAAATGAGCTGTGCAGTGGGTATTTTACATGAGTATGCAGTGCAGAATCAGGCCCTTAAGTGGGGGAGGGATAGCTCAGTGGTTTGAGCATTGGCCTGCTAAACCCAGGGTTGTGAGTTCAATCCTTGAGGGGGCCAGCTAGGGCTCTGGGGCAAAAAAAATAGTTGGGGATTGGTTCTGCTTTGAGCAGGGGGTTGGACTAGATGACCTCCTGAGGTCCCTTCCAACCTCGATATTCTATGATTCAAAAAAGTGAGATGATAGGGCCAATCTTGATCACATTGTTGTAATGTGTATTCTGCTTTGACTTCAGTGCAGGAGCAGGCTGTTGAATAGTTCACTAGATGTCCTGTCCTGCTGTTTGACCCATTTGAAAATGATGTGGTATTCAAGTAAATAAACCAGAGCATGACTAAATTCTTTGTCTGATGTTAAGTGACTCATTTTGCATTGGGATGGACTCAGGCTTTATTTCCTATTCATTTATTGTTTTAGGTCTGTATGTTGCTCTTGGTCACATGCCTCCAAGTGCATTACAATGTTCAATAACATAAAATGTGTACATGTTTCAGTTTAGGTTTATTTTTGTGGAAGGCACATCCATTTAACTAGGAAGGTAGTTCCTAGGTTTTTAACTTAAATTCCATAAGTTTAATTTTTCTAGCTAGTTTAGTCTTTTCAGGAATCCAAGAAAGTAACTATCATTATTAGATTGTTAGATTGTTTAATGTAATTCCCTCCATAACAGGTGGAGAATAGGAGAAAAATGTAAGGATGGTACTCTTATGTGTCCTGTGTACTTCATGGAGTAATGCAGTATTGAGACATTTTTATTAATGAGAGAACATCAACATTTTTCTAAAACTTGATGAGAAACTCCCTATTTTTGCAACATATTTTGCTGTTTGACTAGCTGCATTTAGGCTAGGGACAGCAGTTCAATATAAGCTCCACCCTCTTTTTTTTCACCTAGCCATGCTCCTTAAAGGTTGGGAGCTTTGAATCCGCACAGTTTTCATGGAGGTCCCTTGTCAGATCCTTGAGCTCATGTTCTCGGCCCTTCCTCATGTACTCGCTTGGTTTTGTCAATATCCAGTCAGATTTCTCCCACTTTCTGCTTGTATTTTGATGGAATGATTTAGTTCTGAGTTTAAACCCAAAATACCCTATTTTAAAACTATCGTAATAGCGCAGTATAAGGCTTACTCTGTTGTGAATAGTTTAAAATTTGGTTTTAAATCTGCCAGGGAATGAAAAATTTAAAAACTTAAGTTATTTTGGCAAAACATTTGAGAAGAATATTTGTGCTCTCTCTTTTGATAGTTCAGCAGTACAGTAGCTAAGCAAAACACTGTTCTCAGGTCTGTACTGGCATTGGTATATGAAGATGTCTGTGTGACATGGCAGTGCCATTTAAAAGACACAGCCTTACTGTATAAAAGATGTGTTATTAGCTCCATTGAAAACATGAATTTAAAAAAATGAAGGTGTGATAGTTATGAAAGCATAGTTTTCATTTCTGCCTCCCCCCCCCCCCCCCCCCCCCCAAAAAAAAACCCCTCCTGGGACAGTATTGGCACCAATGACAAAGCTTAATCAAAATTTCATTTTTAAAACTCTAAAATATTGTTTGACACTGTCTGTTAGATACAGTTAGAAATACAATCTTTGCACATATACTAATTCTCTCTTTGTGACTTCCATCCTACAAATGTTTAACCACTTGAATAACTTTATTCATGTGAGTAGTACTGTTGACTTTAATTAAGTGAATAGTCCCACTAAAGTTACACAGATGCTGGAGTGTTCGCTGGATGGGGGTCTTCAGTTTAAACTAAATACCCAAGGAAGCAAATTCCAGGTATTTAGCCACATACAGTGCTATAAAACTTGTTCTTAAATCATGTTTAGCCTTGAGAAATGTATTAATATTCTTTTAATCAATTTCAGGGTAATGGGGGAAATCCTGCCTTCTAAGAGAAACAGAACATAGCACATTCAAATATATTTTAAGAAGGGCTGCTCTTCCTTTAGAGGCTATGGCTGAATATGACTGAAAGGATAGTTTAAAAAAAAAACCAACACCTTACTTTTCCTTAACCTTTTTCTGGGAGAAAATAACTGAAGAGATCCAATGTGGTTGCTCTTCAGTGGCACATAGGAGTGTGTAGTACTTATGTACAATATTCTACAGTCCCATTCTACATTGTTGGGAGCATGTTTGCCCCTAGCTCTTAGGCAGGTGAGGGGAACAGCTTGCCCATTCATAG